AGCGGCCAGCAGCCGCCATGAGCGGCTGTCCAGAAGCCAGCGACAATCTGCCTCGCCCAGGAAGAGCGCAATGATGGTGCCAACTTGAGCAAGTGAAGCAATGTCCTCCACAACTAGACTGAAGAACAAAAGAACAGCAACTTGTCTGTTCCCCTTCCCAAATTCCCCAACTCTGTTCTCCTTCCCCCAATTCCCCAATAAAAATAAAAAAATATTTAAAAAAAAATTATTGGAGCTTGGATGGGATGTGTTGCCACACCCACCATATTCACCTGACCTTGCACTGTCAGACTTCCACTTGTTTGACTCTCTTCAAAACTCCTTGCGTGGTATAACATATACCACGTTCAATTCATATGAGGCTATAAATCAGCATCTTGTTCAGTTTTTTGCAAATAAAGACAGGTCCTTCTATGAATGAGGAATTATGAAGCTCACTGAAAGATGGCAAAATATTATCATACAATACAGGCAATATATTATTGATTGATCTTTGTTATTTATATAAATAAATGACCTTTGAAAAACATAGACAAAATACGTCATGACTTTTCCGACAACCCAATAGTTTCATTCTTAGCTTTAAAAAGCCACTTCAAGGTTTTGATTCATTTCTTGAATGAATGAGAAAATAAGTAAATAAGCCAACAAACAAAATTGCCATATATATACATACATACTATACCCAGAAATTGCTTGCAGAATACACATTGTTTCCGGTGCGAGTGGATTATTTACCATATTGATGATCTGCTGAGCCATAGAGGAAGTCTCAACAAGTTTCGAAAAATTCTGATTACTGTAACCGCTGTAGAATTAATCAATTACAAAATAATTTAGAGAACAGTAGCTAAAAGATAACTTAGAAAATCCCCCAAATGTTTGGGTGTTAATATACTTTTGAATAGCCTGAATCAAAGAACAAATCACAAAAAATTAGAAAATAATTTAAAGTGAAATAATAAGAACACAATATAACAAAATATAGTATGTAATTAAAGATGTGCTCAAAAAGAAATCTTCATTTTGAATACATATATTAGAAAAGTAGAAAATCTGAAAAATTAATGATCTAAATATTCATCTCAAAAAGTGAAAAAAGTATCAGCAATTTGAAAAAAAAATGTATAGTTTCTTTTTTTCTTTTTTTCGATTTCTATTCCTTTTGGCCTAAATGTAGGAAAGGGAATACTAGACTCTGATTCATATGTGTGGGCCTGATCTTTAAAATGAATATCCTAGAGTGACTCATTCAGATGATGACAAAAATTAATTTCAAATTGCATAGTCTTAATAAATATTGAAGATTCCAGTCACATGTTAATTTATCATAAAATAATAAAATATGCAAGGGTTATTTGGCTATATTTATAGAATGTATAGGTAACATTCAGCTGTCCCAGGGCTCTCTCCTCAGACTTCTCTATTCTTACCCTCACTCCTTAGGTGATTGGTGTTGCTGGCTGCACATTTTAATCACCTGGGCAGTTTTTATAAAAGTCAGATACCTGGAATTCTAATAATATGGAGAACTCCATTCTTATTTGTTTAAATACTATCTTAGTTCCTGAGTTATCTCTAGCCCTGCCTTTCCCCTTCACTCTAGACTTGTATATCCAGCTGCCTACACCACCTTTTCTACCTGTAGGTCTAAGATACATCTCAAACATAACATGTCAAAAACTGAGCCCTTTTATTTTTCCCCATAACCTACTCCTTCTGCAGTGTTTCCTGTCTGAGTAGGTGGTACCACCTGTATGCTTAGAACAAAAGGTTTGGAGGCATTCTTGAATTTTTTCTGTCATACCCTGTATTCACTCTTTCAGCAAATCATGGAGGCTGCCTTCAAAACGTATCCTAAACTTGACCCCCTGTCACTACTGCCCCTGCTACACCTAAGTCCAAGCCTCTGTCATCTCTTGCCTGGGCTGCTGCAACAGCTACTAGAATGTAAGGCTAGGAAGCCTCGCACTTTTGCCTCTTCTATTCACTGCTGTATCCTCTGTACTTAGAACAGTGTCTACCGTTAGTAGGTGGCCCATAAATATTTACTGTATGAATAAATGGGCTCCTAGTAGGTCTCTGCTTCCACTGCTGCCCTCTACAGTCTGTACACGATCGCCAGAGTGATCCTTTTAAAACAGGAATCTGGGGCCTGCTGAGTGGCGCATTGGTTAAGAGCTGCCTTGGGACGCCAGCTCTGAGCAGCAGGGCCCCGGTTCGGATCCCACATATGAGGGCCAGTGACACTGCCCTCTACAGCTAAGGTGGTGAACAACAGCTCAACCTGGAGCTGGGCTGCCATGAGTCACCGGTGATGGCGTAGGCTGCAGCCCCTGCTGCAGTGGGCTGCCATAAGCTATCGAGTGTGGCCAGCAGCCAGCGTGAGCGGCTCTTGGCAGCCACTGCTGCCAAGGGCCACCGTGAGCGGCCGTCCAGAGGCCAGTGACGGATCTGCCTCACCCGGGAAGAGCGCAATGATAATACCAACATGGGCCAGTGAAGCAACATCCTCCACAATTAGACCGAAGAGCAAAAACAATAGCAACTTGTCTGTTCCCCTCCCCCAATTCCCCAATAAAATCTTTTAAAAAAAAAACGAAAAAACAAAAAAACAGGAATCTGATCCTTTCACTTCTATGCTCTCAGTCTTCCATGGTATTCCCATCACATTTAGAATTAAATCTAAAATCTTTACTGTGACCAGTAAGGCCCTACCTGATCTGATCTGACCCCTCGCTGACCTCTCCTTCATCATTTATTGCCCTACTCCATTTCACCTGCAGCCCTCCAGCAACACTGACCTCCTTGTCATTCCTTGAACACATAAAACATTCGTTTATACTGGAATGGCCCTTCCCACATAACTCACTTCCTCACTTCAGTGCTCTGAGGTCTTTTGTCTGGATCTCATAAGAATGGAGTTTTGTGATGGCAGGGATTTATGATTTTTTTAAAATCAATTTACATTGTAGCCATGTCACTGTGCTATTCTCTGTGAATAAAAAAAATAGGGATGGTATGTGTTGAGGGCTTTTTTAATATTGGTATAAATAAAACATCTATTCTGCTTTTTATTTCTTGATATTCATGTCAGGTTAAAATGTGTCTGTTCTAAGAATGACTAAGTAACATGACGTTATAGTCTGAGTATTTGCTGAGGACCCTGTTGTTTCTAAAAAGCTATATTTCTGGGCGACTGGATAGCTCAGTTGGTAAAAAGCTATATTTCTTCAGGTGCTAAAATTTATACTTGATTGTTTTTGAGATGCTTCATGTCTCACCGTGTCACAGTGATTGCTGAATAAAGTCACAAGTCTTATGGAGTGTGCCTTGTGCATTTACTAAATAAAATAGTCCTAAAATAAGTAAATGAGTAGTATCATTGATTTAATGTAATTAAAGTGGTATAATGTAATAGAATAGTCACTGAACCAGAAGATAGAAAACTTGTATTCTCTTCCAACCCTACCACATGCTATTTTGTAAATTTGGACATGTCACTTAATGTTTCCGAGCTTTAGGTTTTTCATAAAGTAATAATAACTGACGTTTATTAACTGCTTACTATGTACTAATCATTGTACTAATTGCTTTATTTGCACCATTTTGTTTAAGCTTCCCTACCAACCCAGTGTGGAAGGGTCCATGTACATTCCAATTTTAAGATAAAAAAATGGAAATACACTGCTAACAGTGGTTTAATGGTATTTAAATTCAGGCAGCCTGCTGTTTTTACAACCTGTGTTCGTAACAGCTACACCACACTGTCCCAGTGTAATACGGAATCATAACACCTGACAGGATTGTTGTGAGGATCAAGTTAAATCATGAATATGAAAACAGTTTTAGCTGTAAAGTGCCATATATATAAAAGGTATAAAATAATATGCAATATAAGCAGTATATAAATATATGTGGAGACTATAAAATTTGGGGGAAATTACTTTATAACTCATACTTAGGGCAGTTTCATTTCACATTTCTTAAAACAGGGGTAATATTCATTATGTCTCATTCTTGGTTGATACGGGATAAATGAAATAATATATTAAAATTTCTTTAACTGTAAGCATTAAAAAATGGAAAGTATTAAGAATGAAGCTAAATGATAGCTTTCTTGGAATATACCATGAAACTGTCTTGGAACCACAGAAGAAAGTGGCTAAAGTGATCATCGGAATTTCTAGTCTTAGGAAGATTATTAAGAACTAGGAGATCATGTTCATTTGGTGACTTTCTTCTAAGCTAAACAGCATGTTAACAGAGATAGATTGCTTTGTTTAGGAAGACCGTATAGTAGTGGTGTCCTCGATATAGCACTCGTAATGACAGAATCTAGCACAGGCAAATCAGCATCTGTCATTTTTCTACAAAAGACTAAGTATTGAAAGTGATATTCAGTTGTCTGCTGTATTTTCATCTCTCAGTAGTTTCTCAGAAACTAGGATGTACCTTATGAATTCCATTATTAGGTTCTTACCTTCTGTCTTTGTAGACCCTTTAAGAGATCCAGATTGGGAGTTTGGGATCCTTCTAGAGAACACTAAGGACAGTAGGGAAACCACTGAAAGGTTTTGAAAGTGGAGTAGTTTAATTAGATGTCCATTTTACCCTACAGAACGGACAGTAAATAATGTTGTCTTTCTGTGCCTAGAAATGATTTCTGTATCTCCCTTGCCTCACTAAATAAATATAAAGCCTGCCTTTTTAGATTCATAAGCCATGAACAATTTTCTGCTTTCAGCTTGAACTTTCAGCTTTGCTTTTAAAGTTTTTAAAGACACATTCTTTGATCTATGCTTTATTTTGCAGAAAATAATGTGTAGTAAAAATAATAAGAATTGTTTGGGCTTACCCTTCCAATTGGCTCTCTTATGCACATAACACAGTTTCCTTTCTCAAAGAACAGACTGAATCTTGTCTAAAAATGGAAATGAGATGAGTTGCTATAGACTTATACCAAAATGAAACTTTTTTAGTGTGGGATGACCATAAGTATAGCTAATGTAAAAGACCCTAGTACAGGGCCGGCCAAGTGGCGCGATGGTTAAGAACTGGCTTGGGACGCCAGAGGACCCCGGTTCGGATCCCACATATGAGGGCCAGTGACACTGCCCTCTACAGCTAAGATGCTGAACAACAGCTCAACCTGGAGCTGGGCTGCCGTGGGTCGCTGGCGATGGCGTAGGCTGCAGAGCCTGTGGCAGTGGGTTGCCATGGGCTACCGTGTGTAGCTAGCAGCCAGCGTGAGCGGCCAGCAGCTGCAGTGAGCAGCCATCCAGAAGCCGGCGACTGATCTGCCTCGCCCGGGAAGAGCGCAATGACGGTGCCAACTTGGGCCAGTGAAGCAACATCCTCCACAACTAGACTAAAGAACAAAACGACAGCAACTTGTCTGTTCCCCTTCCCCCAATTCCCCAGCACTGTTCCCATCCCCCAATTCCCCAATAAAAATCTTTAAAAAAAAAAAAAAAAGACCCTAGTACAGTTTATTTTATTACCCACATGTCTCTTAAACTGAGAATGAGGAGGTTAAAAATTGCCATGCCAAATTCTCACTAGGGAGGATCTAATTTAGTAGGTCTGGGGTGGGACTCAGTATGTCAATTTTGTAAGGGAGCTTGTTTGTTTTTGTCATTCTACAGGTGATTCTACTGCATGCCCAGTTAAAAATCATTGCTCTGGTAGATAAATATTATTTTATCAAAATAAAGGAGATTACAAAGAAATTGAAACTCTTGCCTGCACCGGAGAAAAATTACATAGTAGAAGAGAAATGACATAGATTTGACAGCTTACATTCTTAAGAAAAATCAGTTCCTAATATTATTAATATTATTGAAAAGATTTAGGTGGTTGCAGATTCTGAGAATGTCCTTTGTGCTTGGTTGAGCTGAATGTATGTTTTATTACACAGTTGTAACATTTAAATTAAAATCAAAACCTGGATTCAACACAGATGATTAAATACAAGGAATTGCATCTAGAAATCTTTGCGTGTAGGCAGAAAAACTGTTAAGTTTATTAAGTTTCACCTTATTTGTAGAATACAGAATCTCTTATCCTGGAAAGCAAAAACAAGCAGAACCTAGTAGATGTAAAAGCTGATCATGTATGTTTTCTTCTTTTTCTCATCAGAGCTTCTATTTTACCATAAGATATATTTTACTTTAACAGCTGATCAGTTTATCTTATTTATTTTTCATTCCAATTTTTCAGACCTCAGCAGTCACCCAGCGGATAAGTCCCTGTTCCACCTTGACTAGCAGCACTGCCTCCCCACCAGCCAGCAGCCCCTGCTCCACCCTCCCACCAGTCAGCACAAATGCAACCGCCAAGGACTGCAGCTATGGGGCGGTCACCAGTCCAACCTCCACCCTGGAAAGCAGAGATAGTGGCATCATTGGTGAGTTGGTTTTCATACTATCCATTTTGTGTCTTTTTTCTTTTTAAAATAGTGTTACATAAGCTTAAGGTTTTTTGGGGTTTTTTTAAATCTGCTTTTGAGTTGTTGACATGTATGCATAAAATATGTTCTCTTTTTAATGGTGCTGGAGAGAGAAATAAAGATAAACAAAATGAAAACTACCCTTCCCTGCTTAACCACTCCTTTAAAGGCATTACCTGATAAAAGAAAGATAGAAAACAGGATAGAAAAAGGTTTTTCTGCTGCTTCCTGTAAATTCACATCTATCTACCAGGAGAAGTGGTTCAGAAAAAGTTCCTTTCTCACTGAGCTAGTAGCATTCACTGAGGTTCTCAGTTCTTCTTATACTTATTGCCTATTGTATATTTGTTAAGGGGAGTCAGTCAAATGGAGATGAGTGAAGTTTTGGGAAATGTAGAATCTTTTTCTAATGAAAAAGAGCGAGGACTACTCTGGGCTTCAGTTTTTAAAAACAAGTGAACTATGTAATAACAGGTTTGGTTTATGCAAATAGTACAACAGTGCAAAATGACATCAGGGTTTTTCTCACACTGGGAAAACTAGATGTCTTCCTTGTCTTGCTTTTAAATACCATGACCATAAAGGCATGCCCTTATTATAAAATTTAGCATTTGAATAATAAAATAGGGTCCATAGGCCACTAAATAATTCTGTCTTTGTGTCACAAGTTAACTCAGTTTCTCAAACCTTTCCAGCACCAATCAGGACATTTATCATTTTTGTCACTAGATCTTATATTTTTGAAAGAAATTTCAGCATCACTCTATTCATATTTCAGTAGTTTGTTTCTCATTTTTAATTTATCAACTATATCTCTGCCAAAGCTTCTGTTCAAAATGAATTAACTAGTACTGTCACCCTTGATATAATTCCAGCTAAGTTTATAACAGCATGATATTTTAACTAGTCACCAGTAAACATATTATTTATAAGTTATTTGAAATATTGAAAATAGTGAAACCCATTACTGCCTTCTCAGACCTTTAAAGAAATAGTATTCCATTGTTGGGAGCCTAATGAATGTGCTCATAGTTTATCTGGAAAGGGGGATATATTTCTGGGATATATACCAGGCTAAGACCACACAGATATAAGCATATCTTAGCCGACTCTGATTTGGGACCTAATGATGAAAACGTCTGCTAGAATGCAACACAAAAAAACACACACAAAAGGCAAGGGGTTAAATAACAGACATTTTACATGTAAACAAGTCCTCCAGGAAACAGGAGTTTCCATTCTCTGCTTTCAGTATACTGACCCTAGCACCTGTGTGCACTCCAAGCTTCTAGCTAAAAATTACAAAGCCAGCTAAATCATCACACACAACTTTACAACAAATTAAATTATATTCCAGTCAGACTTTACTGAAAGAAAAATGTCTGTATTTTAAAATAATGAGACAATTTCCAGAAAATAGGTTATGAAGTATACATCTGTGTAAAAAGACCACACACAGACATATACACAAATAATATAAATACGTATGTATCACTGAACACATTTAGGCATTATAATTATAAAATATGCTGTGGAATCCATAAAAATCTCATTGGGGAAGGTGCAACATTTTGTGTGGTGAAAAAAAGGTTAGAAAATAGCCATTGGGCTATTTATGCCTAAAAGACTGACTATATGAAATGATTTTTTAATGAAAGTGAGTTTTGACCACACACTAAAATAATGTAACTTAATATGACTTGAACATTTGAATTAGCTTTAAGATTTTCTAGTCCATGGTTCCCAACATTTTTACTAACACGACTGCCTTAGCACAGATTCCTTAGAAAATAGATCCTGAGACAAAAGGTTATGTGCTAACACTTTATTAAGGAAGTGTAAACCAGGGAAGCAAGAGTGCATGGAAAGGGCAAGTGAGGCAGTAAAGGAGGGAGAGCAAATATAAGGAAAGGAATTACAGAGCTCACTCACAGGTGATTCCGTGGTCCTACTAAAAGTCTCCAAAGAGACCATGTGTTTCTGAACTGTGGAAGGGGAGATGAGAAGAGGATTTTTCTGCTGGTTCCCTTCTTACATTGGTGTGGTAGCCCTGGCAGGGCATTATTTTCCCCACTCTTCTTATTGCATGAATCCAGTAGCCCTACTGCGTCTCATGGGTCACTGGCAACAAAGAAGTCCAGGGACAGAGGAAAAAGGCTGTTTACAGCAATGCACAAGGCACTACTTGACTTGTACCCATGATTGACACAATCAAAGGACTAGAAGCAGCCAGCAGAGAGATTAATAACAGGGACCCAGCTTCAACCCATGGGAATGGTTCACAGCATTGCTCAGACCACTGTAGCCAGACAACAGGCAGGTGAACCCTTACACCACATAGATCTAATCGTCCTATTTGTTGGCCTCCAGTCTCATCTAGGAACGCAATGCCATGACACTCTCAACTCTTTTCTGAGAGGAAAAGTCCAAATCCAGTCCTTCAAGAAAGTGGCCAGTTGCAGTGGAGACTTAGCAAGGGTTAGTAAACGAAGATACAATTTCTGCTGCTCCTACTGGTCCTAGAGCCCATAATGTATGTTTATTATCTCCTTTTTCCACCCATTTCAGAACAAAGAATATCAAATAGATTGCAGAACAAATAATGATGACCCTTAAAGGGAGGTCATTTCCTAATGATAAATGGGTCATTTCATTAAGAAGAAATAATCCTAGGTGGTTTTGCACCTAATAACAGAGCTTCAAAATGGGAGATATCCACAAACAGAGATTTCAGCAGTCATCTCTCAGTTGATAGAACAAGTAGGAAATCAGTTAGCATATAGAAGACCTAAATAATTCTATCCACCAGCTTGACCTAATTGTTATTTATAGGGAAGTCCCCCCAAGAAGAACAGAGAACAGATTTTTTTAGGTGCACACAGAAGATTCACGAAGATAGACCATATTCTGATTCTTAAAATAAGTCTCAATAAATGTAAATGGACTGAAATCATGCAAGCTGTGTTCTCTGACTACAGTGTGATTAAACTAGAAACCAGTAATAGAAACATATCAGGAAGTTCCACAAAAACTTGGAAATTAAACAACATATTTCTAAACACTTGGGTGGAAAAAAATCACCGCAGAAATTAGAAAACATTTTTTTTTTTAAGATTTTTATTGGGGAATTGGGGGGATGGGAACAGTGCTGGGGAATCGGGGGAAGGGAAACAGACAAGTTGCTGTCCTTTTGTCACTGGCCCTCATATGTGGGATCTGAACCGGGGCCCTCTGGCATCCCAAGCCAGTTCTTAACCATTGCGCCACTCGGCCGGCCCGAAAACATTTTTAATTCAATGATAGTGAAAACAAAACATCAAAATTTGTGGAATGCAGCTAACGAAGTGCTTAAAGGGAAATATATAGCATTATCTGATTATTTTAGAAAAAAAGAAAGTTATTAAATCAGTGAACCGAATTTCCACTTAAAAAATAGAAAAACAAAAAATTCAAACCAAAGTTAACAGAAAGGAAGAAATAGTAAAGAGCAGAAATCAGTGAAATAGAAAACAGTAGGGGAAATCAGTGAACTGAAAGCTGGTTCTTTGAGAGACTCAATAACATGGATAAACCTCTAGCCGTGTTAATCAGGAAAAAAATGACGATACGAGTTACCAATATCAGGAATAAGAGAGGGATTATCACTACATACCCCACAGACATTAAAAGGATAATACAGGAGTAACTTTATCATGAACAACTTTATGCCAACAAATTTAAAAATTTAGATAAAATGGACAAAATCCTTGAAATGTTAAACTACCAAAGCTCCTTCAAGAAGAAAGAGATAACCTGAGTAGCTTGATAGCTATTAAATATAAATTGACTTTGTTGTTTAAAACTTTCGCATAAGGAAAATTCTTAGCCTAGATGCCTTGACAACTAAATTCCACCAAACATTTAAGGAAGAAGCAATACTGTTTCTACACAAACCGCTCTAGGAAGTTGAAGTGAATGGAAAACTGTATGAGGTCAACATTACCCTGAGACCAAACCAGAAGAGGACATTATATGAAAAGTAAACTACAGACCAGTGTCTGTCATGAACATAGACCTAAAAGTCCTTAACAAAATTTTCACAGAATGAATCCAGCAATATATAAAAAGGATAACTCGCAACTAAGTGGAGGTGGGGACCACTGGCATTTTGAGAAGCCCGTGGTGACTGCCATCTCTGATGGAGTTGACAGGGAGATGTTGATGTGAAATTGGGCTTCCTGACGTCAGTGAGGATGCACTGACCAGTTTGGCAACAGCACTTTTTTCTCAGATGCAAGGAGAACATCTTATCATAAACAGTTGCAGGTCTGGAAGGCAACCGGAGTGTCTTCTTTGTAATTCATCTTCTTCCCTTGTTACTACAAAGTCCAGAACTCCATTTAATTTCCAAAGAGCAAACCACACTAAGAGAATCATAGAAATTGCCTCATGAGCTTAGGTCTCTTCTTTCAACAATAGGAATGCTTAAAATGTCGGAAGAGAATATGAGCTAACATAAAACCTCTCCTGGAATGACATTTTATTCTTGTTTTATAATTATTGCTAAGATTTTTATAATCTAGAGTTTAATGCATTGAATCCTTCCATTTCTAGGGTTGATGAAAATTTTCCTGTTTATAATTCCTGTTTATAATTAGTGGTAAGGCTAGATAAAATTATAGAAGCCCTTTCAGTTTTTGTTTGATTTCATTAAGGGACTTACATAGGATTAGAGCTATAGTTAGCTGTACAAACAAGAAGACCCTGTATTACTTCCTTGTTTGGACAGATTGTTCCTCTTGTACTAGCTTCTACTTAGGGACTATTTCTTTCTTCTAATCTTTGTTTATATAAAGGACCAGGAAATAAATTTAAATGAGGGAAAATATAGGATAAAAAGAGTATAAAGATCTTTTTGAGACCTCTGGAGCTCTCCAGCAATTCATGAAAATTATATAAACTCCCTTTTAATGAAATTCTGAAATTTTTAGCATTGATAGGCCCTAGTTGTAGGTCCTTTAGCACTCATATATGAATTTGTTTTGTTCATTTAAATAGGGTTGTTATGGTAAATATATGAGAGAGATGAGAGAAAATATGTGAGAGTTATATTTTGATGTCAGTTATTTAAACTTTATGGTGGAAATGAAATGGTGATAAGTAATTTTTTTAAATAATGTTACTAATATTCTCATTTAGCCTTGAATTTGATAGTTGTAAATAGATTAATCTCTAAGGTGTTTCTTTTAATTTAATTTAATTTTATTTTATTTTCCAGCTACGTTGACAAGCTATTCTGAAAACATGGAACGCACAAAATATGTTGGGGAAAGCAGTAAAGAATTAGGATCTGGTGGAAACCTAAAGCCTTGGTTGTCTCAAAAATCTAGCATGGATTCCTGCTTGTATCGAGTAGATGAAAACATGACGGCTTCCACCTATAGTCTGAATAAGATCCCAGAGAGGAACTTGGAAACAGTTTTATCACAATCAGTACAGTCTATTCCTCTGTATCTTATGCCACGACCAAATTCAGTAGCAGGTAAGGTTATTTTTTAATTATCATTTTACTGCTGTATATATTGAAATGAAAATAAATTCTGCTCTAACAGTATTTAAATCTTCTTTAAGCAAGCTACCTTTGTGTTTGGGTAACATTCATGTGTATCTTTTTGACTCTGGAGGAAGGCTTGTATCCCTCAAGTGATTGTTTAGTTCTGCTCCCAAAATACATAAAATACACATAACATCAGAAACAGAAACTGTAAAGTATATTGTCAAAGTACTAAAAATATTTTTTCTCACATCAGAAGTCTTTGAAAGGATTTCAGTTTGAGGTTTTCGTTTTTAAAAACTTTAGTTTAAAAAAAAGCAGTATTAAATTGAAGTGTATTTTAGTAGACTTTGTATTATCAGAAATCATCATCTGTAGTTTGAGGGAGTGGCAGGCAGGCAAGAGTTCAACTTCCCCATTCTAAGAGCTCAGTATTTTCACAGTACCCTGGCTATCTTGTCATAAAAGAATCACCAGGTACCTCCATTGCTAAAGAAGAACTCAAACACCACTAGCAGTCTCAGTCATAAAGGAATGGTACAGAAGTTTAAGTGGCCTGAATATGGAGCCTTTAATCATTAGTAGCTGTTTAGCATTGATGTCAAGGGATTATTTTTTATACAGCTAAGTTGCAATTTAATAATTCAGACCAGGAGCATTTGCAGAATGATTGGGCATTCTGACATTTTCAGAATGCATCATCAACTGGACTTCGTCCATACTACAAAATCAAAGTTACATTTGTCTTTCTTCCTTGCTTGATAAATGCGTGGATAGGCTTAGCTCACTGGCACAAGATCATAAAATACTCATTGTAGTCAAGAGCTCTTATTTCCCAGATGTAATTGTTTATGTTATGAAGCTGATAATGTAATGCTTCTTGCCTTTCACATTTCCCTTTCGTACCTTTTCTAAACCATTACTCTTTGTTCCATCCTCTGGAAGACCATCAGTGTCTGTCATCAGATGTAATTATGGGAAGAATGAATGACTCATCTGGAAGATCAGTAACTCAGAAGATTTTATTAATTTTTCAAGATTATTCACTTTTACATAATGACAGAAAGTTATCTCTCCTAGGTGTTTTTAAAATATTGGGTTGTCGGAAAAGTCATGATGTATTTTTTCTGTTTTTCATTGCAAAAATGCGTCATGACTTTTCCGACAACCCAGTATGTTGATCCATAACCATGATGTTATTAGAATTCCAAAATGCTATAAGAAAGTGCTAGGCAAATTCAGTCTTTCTAGAAGAGTTGTATTTAAATCCTTGCTTGTATAAAAATGGGGAAATGTAGCCACCTACCTTAATGGTACATCCCAATTTATTTCTTAACTAAGATGCAGTGATTTATAAGAAAATTCTGGCTGTTATTTGAAAAGGGCACTGAGTATTTAGTAGGAGAGAAAGGTACAAGCTTCTTATGTCCTCTTTTTGGTTTACTGAAGAGATTATAAAATACTTTGCCTTGCTTGAGCATAAATGTCTATAGAGATTTATTGTTTCATGCAAATTCTATTAGGGTTTATGAAGAGGAGTCCAGGACTAATTAGCCAGTTGTGCTTCTTCCCTCACCATCTAAAGCTTTCTAACACTATTGCTTATCAGAAATTGGCATAAGGCAGCTGTCAAAAATATCAGTAAGTTACCAATTATTTCTCAATTATTGCAGAAAATAGAAACCAGGTTTCTATAGCAGGTATTTTAATCACCAGGTAAAAATATCATTTGAAATATATATATATTTAAAACTTTACAAAGCAAGCAACATTTTATCAGGTGAAGGATACATTCTTCCATTACATGGATTGTAAGATTTTAGTTTCTTGAGAATTTTATCTTGTAAGAGCTGATATTCTAGTTACTTAATAAAATCTTTTAAATTGCAGTCAACTGTTAGGGAATTGGCATCCAATCAGTAAATTTTTCAGCTTCTAAACTACCTCTCATGGTGCATTTATTAGCTCTTGCCATTTGGCAACTTTACTACTTACAGACATCAATATAATTGTGGCTACAGTTGTACTTCAGTAAGTTTTTGCATATCTATTGGAACAGTGACTGAAGCAAATATTAAGATACGAATTTTATGGAGAATTACAGGAAGGAATTCTAATGGACACCCATTGTTTTTGTAATGTACGCAGCTACAGTGTAGTAAATGCCGTAATACAGTAATTTATAAACTGTAGGAACACAGAAGAGAAAGCATCCAAGTGCAAAGGGAGAGATAAGAGTAGAGAAGAATAGAAGACATCATAGAGAAGAATGAATAAGAAATCACAAGAAGGACTAACAGAAAAAAGGGAAAGGAAGCACATTATTGGTATTTCCACATGACTAGAACCTGGGGTACCTGGGGAAGGAATGGTAGAAAATGATGTTGAAAGGTGATACCAATGACCTTATATACTCTGACAGTAAGTGTTGGGTTTATTTTATTGATAGTGAGGAGGATAAGCAGGAGCCATGTTATCAAATTTACAGTTTAGAAAAATGACTATATCTATACCCATCCTTGTTGGATAGACTGGAGGAGGAAAGCCTGGAGTTAGAGAAAATAGTTAAAAGCTTCTGGTATTGTGCAAAATTACAGGGAATGAATTGCCAGGTTGAAGGGCTATATCAGTAGAGTAGAGAGAGTGGCTTGAGAGTTTCCTCTTTTTTACCTTAAAAGATAACATGTATTAGATTTTTGTAAAATAGAGATACAAAGAATAAAATAAAACAAAAATGAGACATAATCCCTTGCCCAGTGGTTCCTGCTGAGAAAGTCTAGAAATGAAAGATTCATATATTACATAATATATATAAATCAAATAAAAACTGAAATTCAAATAAAAATACAAAAGGAAAAGCCACTCTCCCCTCTCCACCTAATACCTCTCGCCAAAGGTCAATATTACTTATGATTCTTTAAAATATATATACACAGTATATATCTATGATTATAATATATGTAAGAGACATGAGGTGAAAAGCCAATAGGATTTATACAAGAGAAATGAATGTATATGTTCTTACAAAGATGTACATAAATGATCATAGCAGATTTATTTGTAATAGTCAAAAATTGTGAACATCCCAAGTGCCCATTAATAGGTGAATGGATAAACAAATTATAGTATATCCTTTCAATAAATACTACCCAGCAACAGAAAAAAATGAACTATTTATACTCCAACAATACGTATGCATCTCAAAATAGTTATGCTTAGTGAAAGAAGCCAGATAAAAAGAGAGTACATACTATATGATTCCGTTTATATAAAACCCTGGAAAATGCAAGTGAATCTGTAGACACAGAGTGCCTCTCTTGTAATGTAACCATCTGCATATACAGGTGTCACCTCTTTGTATTACCTTATAGGAACTGGGGTTCAGAGAACTGGCACAAATATTGATGCTCTGGCTGCTGCTATTCCTCTGAGTAATAAACTTTCATCTCTGATCTAGATGTCTCACGTCTTCTTCCCGCATCCTGTTAGTTTTAGAAGTAGGATAAAATATCAGATCCTCCATAGTTCCTGACATGAGATACCACTATACCCATACCCGCAAAATGAAAAGGCATGGCAATACCAGGTGTTAGTGAGGATGGGAGGCAGTTGAAATTGTCATACGTGGCTGATGGAAGTGTTAATAAATTGGTACTACCACTTTGTAAAGCTGTTTGGCAAGATCTGTTCAAGGTGTGAAGCTATGTACACATGTTACATAAAACCTAGCAGTTTTACTCCTACATAGAATTTCCATCAAAAATAAGTCCTTATGTTCACCAAAAGACAAATAACGAGAATATTCTTATCAGTTTTTTTATTCATAAATTATCCAAATGTCCATCAACAGTAGACTGGATAAATAAATTGTACACAACATTGAAAAGAATATACTAGTGCTGCAGACAACATTATGGAGAGTGCATACTGCATAAAGTATGTGTATTTATATGAAGTTCAGGAAAACAGACAAAACTATGGCACTTCTGTGGTGATAGAACTAAAGTAGTGGTTACCTTTAGTGGGAATATCAGTTAAGGGAGCCTTCTGTATTTTGATCTGAATGGTGGTTGCATGGGTGTATGCATATAAAATTTACTAAGCTATACATGTAAGATTTATATACTTTATGTATGTAAATCATACCTCAACTTAAAATATATATAAAGTATATTTAGGCTTCTGTCTTTCTAGAAGAGTTTTCCCTTTTCTTTGGTTTAGAAATAGCAGTCCTAGGCAACATAATTAGATATTTGAAGAAATACTTTTAGTGTTGATTAAAAATAACCTAATTGAGAGCATAAACCTAGGATCAGTACCCAGACTGGCCAGAAAATGATTCTAATGGCCACCTCAGTTCAGTGGTAACCTAGGTAAAGTTCTGAAGCAGCAGTCTCTGTGTGAACTTTGTTTATCCTTTTTAAAAAACAAGTATATTGAACCATACTTTAAATACCATAAAATTCATCTATTTCAAGTAATTCACCCAATTCAGTAATTTTTAGTGCTTATTTATCAAGTTCTACACCCTTCACCATAAATCAGTTTTAGAACTTTTTCATTATCCCAATAAGATTTCTCATGTCTATTTAATGTTAATTTCATTCCCACCCTCAGCCCCAGGAAACCACTAATCTACTTTCTATCTCTATAGATTTACCTTTTCTGGACATTTTATATAAATGGAGTCATACAATATGTAGTCTCTTGTGTCTGGCATAATGTTTTGGAGGTTCATCAATGTATCAGAAATTTGTTCCTTTTTATTGCAAATAGTATTCCATTGTATGGCTGTTACCACATTTTGTCTATCCATTCTCCAGGTGATGCATAGCTTTTTTCAGTTATTGACTAGTGTGAATAGTACAGCTGTGAACATTCATGTGTAAGTCTGGGTAGGCATACATTTTTATTTCTCTTAGATAAATACCTAGGAGTGGAATTGCTGGATCATAGAGTAAATTTATGTTTAACTTTTGAAAAAAAAC